GACCCGGACTTAGAGTAACCGACTCACCTCACCCTATACTGCCCTGCCACCTGAGGAATGATGCGGCCGGTACGACGAGTTAAACTTGGAAAGGTCATTAGTCTAACTCAAGGACGTTTTGTATCGTGAGAACTAAGAACTCCGTTAAAACCCAACAAGAAACATGAGCTGGCCCAAAGAAGAACACAGGTGATCCCCCCGAACACAAAGTTCAATCCCCCCAATCGAAGCGAAACCTGCGAGTAGACAATAGACAGGAAGCCGACGGCATTTTACCGAAAGGGGCTCATAAGCGACCATCATGAGTAGCTCGAAGTGCTAGTATTATGAGATAACAAGCAAGCAATGAAACGAGAAGCAAACCAGTAATCCACCATGCAACGCCTAACAGACCTCAACACCAAGAACCCCAGGAACTACTGAATGAACACAGATATCGCCTCCAGAATCCAAGGCATCAAGGCCTACCATGGGTGCGAAAGAATTTCTAGGGACAAAGCGACGGCAAGGACGAGGAATAGTACTTAGAACAAAGCGTGAAGAACCTATCCTCCTCGGCTGTGTTGGCCTCCTTATATAGTATTCTTCCCGCCTGTAGTCATATGATCCAAAGTGGTCACATGTGCAAAACCAAATCATAACAAACTAGTCATGTGACCAAAGTGGTCACATGCTCAAAACCCATGACCTCATAGCAAGGTCATGTGCGAAAACTCATAAACCAATCATAACTCAATAAACAAGTCATATAACTCGACTGAGTCATATGCATGAAACCCATAACCTCATAACGAAGTGATGTGCGAAACATAAATCATATGTGCAAGGCATACCCACAAGGCACACTTGCAAGGCATACTCACCAGGCCCATCTCTCATGACTCATAATCGAACCATATGCGAAACATAACATAATAAGTCATATGACCCAATTGAGTCATATGTATGAAACAATTACATACCTATGACTCATAACCATGAGTTATGTGAAAACCTTTTCCATGCCAAGCCATGTTCATGACAGAAGTCTAGAAGATTATTGTCTATTCCTGGCTGCTGAATTATATTTTGAGAAACTCATAAATGATATAAAGTTTGATATCAAGGTATTAAACTCCTCTTATGATAGGATAGGATTTGGTTGCACTTCAGAATATAGTACTTGTAAAGCTAAAGGTATTCCTAGTGAGAGAGAATTTGTCCAGGTGGTATTAACTCCCAGTGGCTTGCGAACCATTGCCTGAACCTCTGTCAATATATAGAGAGGAGGATGGAAATCATTATCTCCTTTGCCTTATCCATTCCCATTTCCATAGCTATTTGCTTTTCTGTTGCCATACAGTGATATATTCTTCAGATTGAATGGATCCGCTTCTCCAATTACCCAGTAGGCTGCCTTTACTACAGTATGTGCTCTTGTGAAGATAAAATTCAGAGAATTCTTAAGATCAAAGGACACTCTCTCCCTGCATGCTTCATCTCTCATGCCCTTGATAATCAATATACCCAACAAGGAGTCCATTTCTTTAGGTACTCAACATGAAAGCTTTTCCACTTCACCTATATAATCAGTAATATGCTGTTACTCCTCTTGGTATAATGAGATAATCTCATTCTGGACCTCAAAAAGTCTTGCCTCTTGAGTGACTTTACTTCCATAGTGTGCAGTAAACTCACTCTTGATCTCTGCCCAGTCAGTCTTCTTTATATCTTCTAAGACCTAATGCCACCGATGTCATACATCTCCTTACCTCCTCAGATTTTGATGAAAGAATCTAATCTTTGTCTTATCGGTAGCCTCCACATCAATTACCATATGCGGAGAACAGTAACTATCCCAACTCAAGGCTACTACCTCTATATCCTGCAAGTACTCTTCGACACTTTCCAGATATTCTCTATCATACCCTATAAACATAGAAACCTTCACTGCAGCTGCTATTAGAAACAATCTAGTGGTCTAACAGAAAGCTAAGTCTCTAACCACAAGTGAAAACAAAAAAACAATTGTCTTAAGAAATCTCTGCCCAACAAACACCTTATGATAGAGAGCCCCAACTAACAGTCATAATTTCAGAGAGAAACTGGTATTATGATATCATAATCGCGACAATCCATTTCAGAGCACCAAATGAAAAACAAAATCTGCAGATTGCTATATCTGCTTCACAGGATAAAAACCTTCTAATCACCAACTATTGCTGATAAAACCTTTGGACCATAAGAAAATGCCTTACAATTGCAATCACATTCGATCCTCAAGCTAGCTATCAACCTCTTTGTATAAAACAAACCTCAAGAAAAGAAAACCCCAGAAAAAAATCCAACCTATCCTGGTTGTCCAACTATCTAGCTACAAGACACAAATTCAAACCATTTCCCCAGTTTCCTTGTTCCTCAGTTGAAAATGTGGTAGTGGTGGTAGTGAAAGAAAGAAAAGAAAAAAATAGGAGAAGAAAACTGCAGCTATATAGACTAAACTTCAACCCCCCTGTCTGCCAAGCCTAGCAGCCCCTCTCCTATTGAAAACATGACCTATTCAGCTCCTAGTAAATACAACCAATGTATAATTCCCCCTTCTGAGTAAAGAGCTAACTAAAATTATTGTAATACTAAGCTAAAGCTTTGCAAAACTAGCTAAAAATATGGTAAAAAGCAAAGATGAATTTTATCTGTAACAGTACCCACTCTGGCTCAGCTAACCTACAACTACTGTACGTGCTGGGCACTTTTGATATGCCACGGTATAATTTCTTGCCACCTGGCAAAGTATTCCAAACCTGTCTCAGGTGTCAACTATTCATATCACTTGAAAACCACAGATGTTCCGACCTTTTGAGCTTCAATGTGACATCCATTGCCTTGTATTAGATATTACGTATCTTTCCTCTCCGGTGGTGAGGCTGTGTTAGTCATGTGACACAGCCACATGACTGAGTATATATACTATTGTATTCTAGCATCTTCTAGAGATTTCCTTGGTATGAGGCAGTGCTCGTGTAATGATAGTGGGGTATATAAAGGGCAGGTTCAGCCCTGTTCTTAGACAGAGAGTGCAAGCTTGAATTAATCTTTAAGTCTTCAGATTTTATTGTGGTTATCATTGTTACTTCATTATCACAACAGTTAGTACAATAGATACAAATATTTTCACCTTGGCTAGTTTTTATTCAATGAATGGGTACTAGGAAGTCTTACATCCCTCGGATTCGGATATTAGATAATTAACCGGGATAGAGATGGATAGCTCGGTAATCGGTAGTGTCAACGGTGGGCTCTTCCTAGAAGCCACAACCGTTACCGTCCAAGTGACACGGATCAGGATTACTGGGAGAGTTGAATTCACTTTCTCCGCCGGTAGCGACAAGGTGGTAGGGGATAACCCGCCTAAAGGAAAGATGAAAGCTCCTTGACCCAATTTGTCCCCAAGGCCGCGTAGCATGCGGGGGAGCAGTGCTCATTTGCAAGTTCTCAGGCCAAGGTAACTTGGGGGAAACGGTAGCGGGAGAGGGAAGTCTCCTCATAGTTCTTTTAGGTGTTGGCGATCTTGGGCGCGTGGTAGAAACACGGGGTTTGTTAGGGAGGTCTAGAGTGGTGGTGGTGAGAACTTGGGGGTATCATACGTCGTCGTGTTATTGACCACCGAGATCGCTAGTATAGGTATCGATTCCACGGTGGTCGGCCCAGTTGTATATTTAAGCACATCATGTCTGCTCGGTGTTGGAGCCAAAATGGATGGCTTCAAGTACATGTTTGTTAGAGAAACAACAAGCTTGACTCCGAGCCTGTCCGCGACTTCAACGACCTTGCCGAAAGCTTGAAGACCAGTAGGTCAGAAAGCTGTTAAAATTTGCTTAAGCTAATACTGGAATTCCTTCTCGGAAGTACATACTTAGCTGGGGGGCGCCGTTGGTCCACTTATGGAGGAAACTTCCAACTCCCCGGCACCTTCTCCACCATATTTTGACAGTCCACTGGAATCGAAAGCTGCATTCCTGTCACAAAATCCCGTGGGCTCCGAAAACCTCCAGCCCAGCGATTTCAGCAGCCATAAGCCCTTTCTCTACATCCAGCGGGTTCTTGATAATCATCGGCTTCTACGCACGCAATCAAGATACGAATCTCTACCGTTGGTGAAAGGGAAATAATAAACACTGGACCCTGCAAAGTATAGATCATCACCATTGAGTTGAAAATTCTATCCAATAGTGGTGACAAAGCAGCTCGGAATCTTAATAGGAGTAGCAGAAACACACTCTACCACTACAAAGGCGAGGACCCCCTAAGGTCTTAGAGAACTCGGCTTTCTCAAACAAAGCGAATCAATAAGATATTTAAAGGAAGCAAGCCCGACGACGTGGAGAAGAAAATGGGCCCCGGTTTGAGTGGAAACAAGCCGCGTTCAAGCCTTTAAGACAGCAGATATTACCGGCAAAGAAAGTGTTTACTTATCTGCCCAGATCATGGAGAGATCACCAAAGTTAGAACCACTTTGGCTCCCGCCGTCCAGCTCAATCAAGCACTATACTCGCAGTAACGTACCGGTGAGCAAAAAATACGTTGCATTATCCAAATATCACCCCATGTCTTGCTGCAACCCCATAGTACTTTGAAGCTGGAATATCTGACCCGCTTCCCCAAGCGGTAATAAAAACGGGAATGAACCAAGGGCCCAAGTGCTCTAGAGCCTGTAGAGATTAGATGGGGAGGAGCGGAGCACGGAATGCTGGGTTTAGCTGGGTATCGTTCAGGTTTTCCGAAAGATGTGCCCGAGTTTAGGGACAGTCACACTCAAGGCACGATCGATATTGGTAAGAGAGAAATTAGGCCTCTTTATACTCTACGGGTATCCGCCAGCTTGAGTCCGAATTTAGTATAGCGCTCAGATGCGCACTGATATCTTGCCATACGAGTGTTGAGTCCGTTGAAAAGCGGGGAACACAAGATTGACGTACGATATCCTGGTTGAAGTTGATAAACTTTCTTGCGTGCAACCAGATCAACTTGAACCCAAATGGGTGCTATTTACTCATCCCGGGCACTCACTAGCTGGAAATTGGTAGTATCACTTTCGTGCGCATAGGTACGTAAGGGTGACATTTAATTTTTTTTGTCGCCATAACAAATGATGGTAACGGGTTTCTGATAGGGATGTTATAAGATAGTCTAATCAGATCAAACATGATTGAACCATTGTATGGTACAGTCGTGTCTGAAAAGTCTACGTACTCTTGCTTGGCAACACCACAACCAATGATCACGTCAACATCACCTCCTACCATGACACCACCACACTCCCAAACCCTCAGAGAAGACCAGAGAAGGGAAATCTATGCCCTCTATAAATCTACTGATATGGGGTAGGGTAAAATTTCAAAGCTTACGAACCTCTTCAAGTCAACTGTTTCAAAAGTAATCAAAAATACAAAATCCAGAAATTGAAACACCTATGATGACCCCAGATCTGGCAGACCAACCAAGATTACTGATGCCAAAAGGCAAGTAATTCTTGATATTATTGATGCTGAGCCTTATTTAGCTCTAAGAGACATTACTCAAAAAGCCAATATTGAACTTGCCAAAGATACTATTAGCAAGATATTCAAAGAAGCTGGATTTATGCTCAGGATACCTAGGAAAAAGCCTTTTTGGAGAAAAGTACAGAAGGAGAAGAGAAAGGAGTTTACTAGAGTGAGGAGGAACTGGACAAGAGCTTGAAAAGGGGTGGTTTTTGTGGATAAAGCCACAATTGAATATGATCTAAATCCAGTGGGAAGAAAGATCAGACTTAGACCAGGTGAAGAGTTGGAAGAAAAGAACTTAAAGCCTAGATTTAAGTCAGGATGTACCAACATAAGTGTATATACTGCAATGATGTATGGAGGGAGGACTGAGCTCATTCTTGTGAGGAAGAGGACTGAGAAGGAATAGACCAGCAAAAGAAACAGACTTGGTCCCAATTCCCACCAATAAGCAACTGAGATTCACCAACCCTACCTTATCCCCTTCATAGAAGTTATAGACAGAGCTCCTCAAACTATCTATATGGCTGCTGATAATGCATTATAGCATAATAGAGCAGAAAATAAAAAATTGCAAGAGAACTATAGATATCAAAGATTGGCTTGGTCTTTCAACTCACCAGATCTCAATCCTATTGAAAATGCCTGAGCAATTCTTAAAAGAATACTCAGAAAGTGATTCTCCAAGGTTGAGAGAAGGCTCCATAGTGCTGCTGAATTCTTTCAGGCTGCAAAGAAAGAGTAAGACCTCATTCCTCAAGGAACATTTGATCAATGGATTCAGAGGATGCTTGAGAGACTTCAAGCTGTATTAGATGCAGATGGAAGCCATACAAAATAGTAGCATTGAGAAACTGTTTTTTTGTATTTCTACTATTATCTACATTAAAATTGTAATCATATCTTTTTTTGTTGTAGTCAATATTATTATTTGTAGTAGTAGTGCCGTTGCCGTTAGAGGTATGTAGACTTTTCAGACACAACTGTACAGTATATAAACAGAATAAGATCAGAACATTAAGTGCCTTTTGGACAAATTTTGTCAGATATGCAGAAAAGCACCTTGTGGATATCGATCATAACCTGTTTTACTAGATAGTCAAAAGGGAGTGCTAATGGCGCTGTTACACTGGTTTGGTGAAAAAAGAAGAGATGAGGTCTTTGCAGACGTGGATGTGGAGCACGTTTTTTAATAATTATCTACTTAATATTTTTTCAAAAAATAACATGGTAATACTACTCTGTTCAGGATTAGGGAGTAATACAGTTATAAAAAAATCAAATAATTAGTAGTAATTGGAAAATGACTACTATAGTTATATATTTCATACAACCTCTATTAAGTTTTTCTTTGTCAACTAATTTGTTTTCAAATATAGTATGCAAGGAAATATGAGAGTTCAAATATAGTTATATCTTTATGGATTTTCTTTCTTACTTTTTCCTTGCTTTTCATGTAAATTTGAAGGAATTTGTATTATATCATATTTCAATATTTTTCTTCAAAATATCATTTTTTTAATTAAAAGTCTACTACACAGAATTATTCCTCACAGATCTTATTCTTTCTTCCATATATTATTTATGTTATTATCTAAAAATTTATTATAAACAGTTTATAAGGACTTAGATTTCAAATTCTATCTGCTGTACTTCATAGTAAAAGTATTCTATAAAAGTTTATATTTTCAAATCTGCAATTTTAATTCTTTTCTCCTAATTCCAATTTTATCTAACTTAGATATTTACTACAATTCTGTTACATTGATAGAAAAATCTGATTTCTTAAAGCATTTTATATATTCTATTTTTCTTCTTCTTCTAATTATAAAATACTAGTACAATTTTACCTACATTGTAACATACATCTCTGTATCCTGGAAATCTTAAAGAAATTTTACCATACCAGTAGCCATTAAGTGGAAGGGATTTAATTTTATTTTCTGGCAAAAAGCCCTCTACCGGTAATACTGAAAGACCGGAAAAGTAACAGTTCAACTTGTAGTGTAAGAGGCCATGTGAATGAAGTTCGCAGTTCGTCATAACACAAACCAGATTATGACAAGGAAGATTAACAAAGGTTTTCACATGGACGTCGCATCGTTACGCAGTGCATACAGAGTATCTTGTTATATGATGACTAATAGTTGTGAGTTATATGATATTATAATTTTCACATGTGACTCATACTTATAAGTTACAAGTCTTATATTTAGTACACATGACTGGTTATAAGAATTATAATTGGTTTAGGTATGTTACTGTTAGACGGAGATAATTTGATAGACTTCAAGGTTGTCTAGGCCAATCGAGATTCGTTTCTGTAGACGGAGATTGTCTAAGAAGGCTCGGACTTTACTCGTTTCGTTTATGACTACTAGGAGCGAAGTAAAATCGGTAAAGTAGGATAGAATCGTAAAAACAATATTATATTGTTAAGGTCTCTTCTCCGTTGCTTGATGATGTCTAAAGCTTAGAAGGCACTTCAATATTTATATTCCACGTTGGAGTGTTCGTAGACTACATCTATTTATCATACAACTATGTACTTCTTTAATCGTAATTTGCGACGTCAAGTTTTCTTCCAAGGTGCGAATACCTGTGGATCCTGAAAACCATCATACCCTCTTCGGTAATTACGATATTTCTACTTAGGAAACGTGCTGTCCCCAATAGTAATATCCTGATTAGCAGAGTCTTTAGACTTATGGCCTAGTCCTTAAGTCGAACTGAGTTGGCTCCAATTGTCTTCACCATTGATAAAATGATCAGTTTCATCCACGGCTATATCTGCAAAGGTGGTTGTCATTACAATCATCGTAGGTCGTCTGACTTTAATCCTTTGTAACTCCATACCCAACCGATAGATTTTCTCTGGATGACTTCCTATTAACTCGCAGGAAGCTAATCCACCAGATTGATAATTAATACCTCGGTTGGCAACTCTTGGTTGCTCTTTGGGTAGTATGTTTCAGTAACCATTGTAGTATTGGGAATTCCTCCATAGCTATGACGTGCTCCGAAACCCAGTTGCAACACTCTGTGAAGTCCGTTGGCTTCTTTGGTAGTGTCCTTTGTAGTTCTAGACTCTTTTGGTCGATATAAATGTATGGGTCTCTAATAGAGATCCGTTACCATCTGATACCATCGCTTTGTGCAAAATCGTCCCGTTACCTACGGCCCATGCCAAAGGTGTCATGTTTTGAAGCCAAGTAGCTCTCTGAGTAGTTGATGGAATTACTCCGTTCTACTTCCCAGACCGAGCGGAAGGTCCTCTCTCATATATCCAGCAAACAGGATCCGGTCAGACTGACGGTGATAACGTATATAGTGTTATTCTAACACCTTCAATTCTATAGTAATATAGTCACAGGACGCAACTGAGATTAATATATATGATGATGCGTGGGCCGCGTAAGGGAGCCGGATGGGGGTGTTGAAGGCCAGAGATTCCGATTCCGAGTGGGGTTACCCTACTTAGGGTGGTTCCTAGGTATCAGGTTCTGGTATTCCTAACATGAGCTCCCTCCTCTTAAGGCTTCACCCTAAATGCCTTTTTGGTACATAAAAAAAAAAAACATAAACATAATTTAACCATTAAATTTTTAAACATTAATTCCTTTCAGACCCCATGAGAGTAGGGTAAAAAACCTTCTGTGTTTGCTTGGCCACGGTAGGAAAACCTTTCTCTCATCATCCTCCCTCTGTCCGCCTTGGCATTTCCGGATTATCATGGTGAAATTCATCCACCATTTCCCTCACATTATCCATACCAGCGGCAGGTTCACAGGTGTTCTCATCTT